ATTATTATTATTATTATTATAAAAAATTATCAAAGTTAGATAATATTCACTTGAATTTCTAAAAAATTGTGAAGAAAAATACCTAAATAAATATCTTTCCAATAAACACCATGATTATATGTAGTAATTGCACTTAAATAATTAATTCAAAGATCCCTTAACTAAGGATTATTATATTTTTTCAATCAACCAAGCATGTAGTTATTCATGGTTCACAATTTTAATGGTAAAATTTTAATACTAAATTAAAAAATTAGTAGACGAATAAGAATAATATTAGTATAAAGAGGTATAAGTCCATTGGCTCAAAACTTAGTTACGACCCCACAAATTTGAAGTAGTAACTCGTACTTAAGTTCAATTAACTTCTAGGTCTACAATACATAGAGTTTTTTCACATGTGTATCTTTCTTATTCCATTAAATATTGCTAACCGGGTCATGCACATGTGTTAATAAAAAGTTCTCAATTCTTTTCCTATTTTTTAGGCTACTCATTATAAGTTTATTAAGTTTATTTAGCTTGTTGTGGTGGATAAATGTCTGATTATTTTGAGTTTATGCATTTCAGGTCCACCAGCAGCCTTGTCACATTGTTTATACCGATTATCAGCCAACAACACCCCTTCAGCATTGCATTTTCCCTGATGGAGGTGACGGTCTGTACATGGTGGTGGATGAAAGGGGAAGGTTTCAGGAAGACGGCTTTCTGAGAGCTTTAAGTGCGCTTGTTCCTAAAGCTGAAAGTGACAGGAAAAGAGAGAGTGGTAAGTTACAGAATGGTTTAGTGGTGGGGAAAGTTGGCGAAGATAGTGATATCTTCAAGTTGGTGATTATTAGATGTTAATATGATCCTGTGATTATATTCAGTTTCAGTGGAAAGGAATGTGAATTTCTTGCAATGCAGGTAGGCTTCTTTTTTCATCTGTGAAGCCTGTTTTATAAATATGTTTTTTATATGGGTTATAAGGCAAATGAGGAAGTTGGTTATCTCCCTAACTTCCTAATCATTGTTTTCAATTTTAAGTTGTGTGGCTTCTTACCTGTTTGGCATTATGCCATATGGATATGTGTTATTCTCATTTATTTGGTTTTTTTCTATTTTATACACTTCAAGTACCTAGTCCTCATCCTTCTGTTGAAAAAATTGTAGATGGCAAAACTGGATTTGAATGATGTTGATGAGAAAACAAACATTGAAATTATCTTTTGGTATGCCATGGGCATGCTTTCAGACGACGATAAGAAGCTACCTCAGGCAAGTTCTATTCTTCTAGTTGGCATGTTTTTGTCGGTGCATTTGTCTTCTTTTTTATCCAAGTCAACATGCAAATGCTTGTGCATTTTTGAGTATGCACATGCATGTAAAATGCATGTTGTATAGAATTTTTTATATTTTTTTTATTTTTTTACAAAGAGCAGTGATTAAGTCACTGTAATCTCATCTTGTGGCACTAGGCCTACAAACTGATATCATATCTTTCTTCAAAATTTCTCAAACTTGATCTGGTGGTTCCTCATGTAAAATGCATGTTGCATAGAATTTATAATGTATGACATTATTTAGATTTATTTCTTCTTACTGAATTGTGATTTTGAATGATATTGAAACCATGATGAAATTTACTGGTGATTCTTGATTCAGTTGTGGTTTACAGCTTTATGTGTAGTTCTGAAGTATTATATAGATTTGCTCATTGAAGCTACTTTCAGTTTATCCCAAATAGGTTGTGACACGTGGATTTTGTTTTATTCTTTCAGGTACATAATATGCTACCACTCTTGAAACGTGGAATAGGCATGCATCACTTCGGCTTGCTTCCCATTCTAAAAGAAGTAATAGTGATATTATTTCAAGAAGGTCAGATTAAGGTTAGGATAACAAACTCAATTTGATACTTCGTATTTTTGGGTTATTCATATTTTCAAATTTCATAGATTAGGTATTGGCTTATACAATTCAAGATGTAGTTTTTAAGTCACACTTGAAGAATCTAATAGAATTTGGACAAATACCTGGCTTAGCAAGTTCATATT